AGAAGCAACGTTAATAATAACAGCAGCAAATAGAACAGCAGCAGCAACTGCAGCAATTCATAGAATAACATATACAGCAGCAGCAGCAGCAGCAGCAGCAGCTGCTGCTGCTGCTGCTGCTGCTGCAACCGCAGTTATTTCAGTTGCGCCTCAGCAGATATAGCCGGAAACAGCAACGGGAGGTGCAGCAAGACAAGCAGCAACAGCAGCACCAACAGCAGCAGCAGTAGATGTAGCAGCAGCAGCAGCAGCAGCAGATGCAGCAGCACACGCAGCACCATAGGTAGCAATAGGAGCAGCAGCAGCAACAGAAGCAGCAGCAGCAGCAGCAGCAGCAGCAGAAGCTAAAGTAGAAGCATCGCTGGCCATCTCTGTTTGCGAGCACGTCTAGCAGCAGCTGCTGCGGTCCAGCAGCAACAGCAACAGCAACAGCAACAGCAGCAGCAGCAGCAGCAGCAGCAGCAGCAGCAAAGCAGCAGCAGCAGGAACGAACTTTTTTGACCCCGAGTTTGACTTCACGAGGATCCCCACGGGCGCAGCATGGGGGAGAGGTGGAGTAGGCCTCGCCATCTCTTTACTCATTGCTGCTGCTGCTGTTGCTGCAGCTGCTGCTGCTGCTGCTGCTGTTGCTGTTGCTGTTGCTGGCTGCTGCTGCTGCTGCTGCTGCAGCTGTCCCGGGGAAGCCCAGTAATGCTCCGTGCGTAGTTGCTGCAGCTGCTTCTGCTGCTGCTGCTGCTGCAGTGCTTACTCAGCTCCCCTTCTGCTGCTACGTTTTCCTTCTCCCTGTTGCTGTTGCAGCTTCTGCTGCTGCAGCAGCCTCTGTTTCTGCTAGTGCTGCTGCTGCTGCAGCTTCTGCTGCTGCTGCTGCTGCTTCTGCTGCTGCTGCTGCTTGCGGTTGCAGCACGCGGTGCTTTGAACGCGGATAGCGCAGCTGCAGCGCCTGAAACCCTAAACCCTAAACCCTAAACCCTTGACAGTAAACCCTAAGCACTAAACCCTAGGGTCGATACTCTGAAAGTTTGTGGATTCGGCGCTGGTGCTATGACGCTGCTCAGCGACGATTAAGGGTTTAGGGTTTAGGGTTTAG